TGGTACTATATTTTGCACAATAACTCTAAGACTTAGGAGAAATCTTCCACAAAAATAGATATAATTATGACATTCACATTGATACTCTTTAAGACAAAGCTGAGGGAACACGGTCCCTGACCTCCCACCCCACGCACACCTGTGATGCACCGAAGTCTTGATATGTTTAAAAGGGTCTCACATCGGTAAGACCAGTCACTCGCTGTCAGCCAAGTGGTTTCTTGCATTTACATCATTGCAAAGACAGTGTAAGAACAGCTGAGCACACAGTGCTATCTTAGGTGTGACACGGGCGGAAGCAGCCAGGCCAAGACGACGTCTCTTCCTTCTGGCCAATGGAAACCACGGGCCCCTTTTCCTCGGAGACAGAGCCCATGTCAGCTGTGGTGCCGGCGGGAAGACCAGCGCGGTGGTGCCGAAGCAGGTGAAGACCAAAGAGCACGTGGTGCCGAGCAGGCCGAGACCTGGCCCTGCCTCGCTGCAGGACGGGCACCAAGCTCCCTGCGGCCGGGACCAGTTCCCAAGGAACACAGCCTGGGCCAAGGGGAGGACAACCTGCTGGCAGAGTGAGAGCCCCTGCAGGAGGCCCCTGCTGCCTCAGGGAGGAAGGAGGCCGGGGAGGAAGAAGGCCGAGGAGGAAGGAGGCCGGGGAGGAGGGAGGCTGGGGAGGAAGGAGGCTGGGAAGAGGGAGGCCAGAAAGGAAGGAGGTCAGGGAGGAAGGAGGCTGGGGAGGAGGGTGGCCAGGGAGGAAGGAGGCTGGGAGGAAGGAGGTCGGGAATGAAGGAGGCCGGGAGGAAGGAGGTCGGGAGGAAGGAGACCATGAGAAGCAGCAAGGGAGCCTAAAGCCCCTGCCCCAGGCCGTGCCCCTTACTGCGATGTGCAAAAGTATGACCCCTCCCCATGGTCCCTGCGCTTGCAATGACACAGCAGGCTTGCGATGCAGAGAAAACCGAGCGTGGGCGGTTCCTAGTGTTATCTCGCTCCCTGCCCGGGCAGGACCGTGGCTGGACTGCCCTCTGCCTCCCGACTGCCCTCACCTGCTCGGACTCCCATGCAGGGACAGAGGCGGCGAGCTCAGAAAGTCCCATCTTACTGCCCCTTCCGAACAACCTTTGCCCAGGTTCCTTTAAACAAAAGGTCCAAATCCAAACAAGCTATGATTCTAGCTGACCCTCTTCCTAAAATCAGCTGACTTAAAAAAGGCAAGGTGCTTGCGTCAAAACACATCCAATTTTAATTGCATATTTCAAATTCTTAAGAATTGCTTACTCGCCTTAAAGCCTCGCACTTCTTTCTTTTTTGGTATTGAAAGCAGGAAAAGTGTTTAAATGATGGGAGAACAACCACAGAAAGCGCCTGCAGCGTGGCTCGTGCAGGCGGAGCTGCGGGGGATCGGCCGCCAGGCTCCCCACAGCCCGCAGCAGCTCCGGTTGGCCGAGAGCAGCAGCGACGCTGGGAGTCTCAGGACGCTCATTAGAAGTTTCACTTGCTCCCAGGCCAACCAGAGGCAGTGCAGCCACTGCGGGCTGTGTGCTCTCGCCGTGGGCTCACCAGCACCGGCCACCTGCTCCCACCTCGCTCTGTGCTACGCTGTGGGAGAGGGCGGGGCCGTGTGGCCTCATCGGGGCCTGAGGACCAAGGGGTGTGGAGTGACAGGGAGAAGCCAGGCTGCCCAGGAGGAGGGGAGCAACGTGCACTTTTAGAAACCCTCCCGGCTACTGTTCCGTGTGGACTGCCTGCCATTGAAGCCTGCCCCTTCAGGCCGGCGGCGGGCTCTCTCACGCCCGGTGGTGTCATCTTTGGCAAGCAATGGACGTGAAAGAGCTACGACACTGAAGCAGAAAAGGGACTGAGAATGCGCTGCCCGAGGAGAAGGCACCAAGTCCAAGTGTACAAGCACCAGTGCAGGGCACGGACCAAATCTCCGGGAGTTGGTGGGGGAACCGGGAAAAGAGGGCGGCACCCATCCCGGGCTGCGATGCTGAGAGCTGAAGGCAGAGGATGGAGCCCACGTTCCTTTTAAGCTACGTGTCCAAAGAGAGCTGCTGCGAACCAGCTTTCTACCAGCCGGGAAGGCAGGAGAGGTCAACGCCAACTAGATTCATCAGCCATCATTGCACCTGCTTCCGGGGAACAGGATCGAATCGGGGCGTTTGGCACGATGAAGGGGACAGTGCAGTCTGCACACACGGTGACATCCAGAAACATGATCTCAGGTGGGGGCCTCCGAACGGAACCGGAGACCCCCCCAGAAGGCCAACAGGTCCAGTTGCTGAGAACGACATGATGCACAGGGGAGCGATCCAGGCCATGCAGGAAGAGGCGCGCCTTCCAGTCGGCCACCTGCTCGGAAGCTGCGGACGGATGGGGAGAGCTGCCATGGGGGGCCCGGAGCCCTGCCTGGGGAGGCGGCCCCAGGGCCAGGGCGCCGTGCAGCCACGAGATCCCAGCACGTAGACCGCGCGTGAGATGCACGGAGCTCTCCGGGAAGTGGCGCCAACATGGAGGAACGAGCAAAGAATTAAGGCAGATGTAGCACAGGACCGGAAGTGTTGCCGTTTTTGGTAATAGCTTCTTGTCCACAGATGTGAGCAGATGGCTAGGTGAAGCCTTGTCATACCTGATGTCCGGGAACACAGACGCCCATACCACGTGCGGAAGCTGCCTGCGTTTCTCAGGAGGCAGATGCATATCTGACGTCAAGAACAGAAGCAGCCTGAGGAAAGGAGAACAAAAGAATCAGCCCGGCCAGCGGGGTTCAGTGGCTGAGTGTTGACCCTTGAACTAGGACAGTGGTCGGCAAACTCATTAGTCAACAGAGCCAAATAGCAACAGTACAACGATTGAAATTTCTTTTGAGAGCCAAATTTTTTAAACTTAAACTATATAGGTAGGTACACACTGTTATTAAGTTAATTAGGGTACTCCTAAGGCTTAGGAAGAGCCACACTCAAGGGGCCAAAGAGCCACATGTGGCTCACGAGCCGCAGTTTGCCGACCACGGAACTAGGAGGTCACGGTTCAATTCCCAGTCAGGGCATATGCCCGGGTTGCGAGCTCCATCCCCAGTGCAGGAGGCAGCCAATCGATGATTCCCTCTCATCATAGATATTTCTATCCCTCTCTCCCTCTCCCTCTCTGAAATCAATAAAAAAAATTTTTTTTTTAATAAAAGAAGAACAAAGAGCAGGAAACGATGCAAATGGCTTGTTCTGGTGTCCTGCAAGGGGAGAGGTGGACCTGCTGGCTGCCCCGTACACAGCGGGCACAGCAGAGCTCCTGAGGCGGGCCCAGGAGGTGGCTGCACAGCATGGCCCCTGCAGCCAGATGCCTGGCTCAGAGCCTGGCTCTGCCACTTTCCAGCTGTCTCCTTGCAGGATACACGCAGGCACGGAGCCCACCACACAGGACAAACAAGCCGGCCAGGGCAGCGAGCGCGTGCTCGGCGAGGGTAGCGGCTAGAGGCTGCCAGGCTCCTGCTGGGACAGGACACCTACGACCCTGCAGATGGCAGGACCCGCTTTCACCGCTGCCCCGGCATTTCTCCACTCTCCGCTCCGTTTTCAAGCCGGATGCCCACCCCAAACCTCCAACCTAAAGGTCCCTTGTAGGCCCTGCTCCCCTCGTGGTGTCTTGTTGCCAGGAAACAACGGCTACGCATCCAGAAGCTGCACATGCGCCCGTTCAGGGCGCTCAGGTCACGGGAGGGCTGGGCGTCCATCTCGAGCCTTCTCCGAGCGACACAGAGCCCCACCGCCGCCGCCGCTCCAGCGCTTGCCCTGCCCTTTCTGACACGCCCAGCCCCGGGCCCACCGCTGGCTCCTCAGCGAACCCTGGATCTCAGCAGCCCAGACCCGGGGCTTCCCCACCTTCTCAGTCTGCAGGGCAAGCGCACAGAGAAAGCTCTCTCTCTCTTGCAAACACGCATGTCCTGTCCCCAGGAAGCCTCCTGAGTGGAGTCCAGGACCTTAGGAAGTGAATGCGTGCTACAGGGGCAACTGGCACGGGACGAAATCACGGCCACAGATGGAGATGCCTTCGCGCTGCTCGGAGGCTGCTGTGAGCCAGGGCTGCAGGCAGGCCACGCGCGACTGGCCAGGACCCTCGCATCGGCCACACTTCCTACAGGGCCTCTCAGTCTAACCAGCGGGCCGGGCAGCACGTGCTGCCCACACACCCGGACACCCCCCCACTCAGGGCGGGAGCCTCTGGCTGCTCCCCGCTTTCAGAGGAGAGCACAGCAGCAGGAAACAGGCAGCACGGCATCCCTATGGCTGTGGGAGGCTCTGAGGAGAAAGTGACTTTCCTGGTGCAGTGAACAACGCCAATGGGAAGTGATGGCGACGACCGGGCCCTGTGCCGACGGGAGGCCAGGCCACGGGTGGGAAACAGAACAAGCCCGTCCCAGCAGCAGGGAGGGACGGGGGTCCCTGCCTGACCACCACCCAGCTGTCCCACCAACCGCTCCAGACTGCCCCCGTGGAAGCAGTGAGCCCCGCACGGCGGCCGCGCAGGACGCACAGTGAGGCGGCGGCACCGCTCGGGGGCTGCGCTCCGCGGACACTCCGGGGCACTTGCAGCTCTCCGCTCCACGGCAGAGCTCTTTCGGTGCTTAAAGAGAAGCTGGGAGTGTGGGGTCGTCTGTGGCTGGGGAAACCACGGTCAAATGAGGAATTTGTCCAGGAATTCAAATGTAAGGAACACCCAGGGACAAACACCTGAATGAACTCCACACACAGATCATGCATGTGCAGGCTAACGTCAAGTTACTGACTGCTGAGACCAGGAACCTGGCCCTGGTGCGTGCGGACGTCAGCGGGCCGGCGGGAAGGGGCGGGGCCCGGCGGAGAAGAGCGTGCTGCTGCGGGCTCACCTCCTCCTCCTCCTCGGCGACCTTGAGAGCACTGTCCGGGGACTTGACGGGCTTCTGGCCGCTGGGCCCATTGGTCTCTTCCTTCCCATGCTCCGCCTCCCATTCTTGTAAAACTTCGTCTATGTTGAAGCGGCGTCGATAATTTACAAAAAAGTTTTTCACTTGTACCACTGATTTGTTCCCAATCACATCCGAGATGGCCTGGAAGTCCCGGCCGTATTTCCTGATGGCTGAAGAGAATGCGTGTTTCAACACAGAGAACACCGAGGGGAACCCCCACGCAGAGGCCTTCCTGCATCCGGACGAGGAAACCCACAGGCTTCACCCGTGGGCCTACCCAGTCCCAGACCAGAGGGGGTGGTCTAGCCACACCCAGACAGCTGACCCGAGGCCAGGGGGACCCTGCCAGCAGACGCCCCGTGAACACTGGCCACCCAGCAATGGCTGTGGGCGTGGACACTCCGCCCCCATCCTCTCAGGGTCCCAGGACTACAACACCCCGACCTTAAACCCTAGCACTCAGTCTGCTAAAATGAACTACTCACACCTGTACCACTGACATCTCCACACTAGCTTTAATCTTGTGAGACCAGAGGGAGTGGTGATGTGGCTGAAAGTGACCCCCTGGAGTCTGCTTCCACGCGAGCAGTGCGCTGGGCACGGGGCATGGGGGAGCTCACCAGTCTCTCCTGAAAGCGCTCTAGGAGGAGGAGCCATACCTTGCACGGCGAGCAGCTGCTCCTCTGTGGTCCAGCGCGCGTTGCACTTCTGAATGACCTGGACACCCAAACGCGTCATGTCAGCATGCCCACCACCCACCCTTAGGAGCCAGCCACCCTTTCTCAGGCCAGGGCTCACGCCGGCTCGGCTTATGAAGCCATCACATCTTTCCCCAAGAGGGTGAGAGGTGCACACTGGGGACAGAGTGCAGGGTGTGGCCTCTGTGATGACGCTGACAGTCCTACCTCGGGAAGTCGGTACAGCTCAATTCCACCGTCGAGTTTTTCTTTGAGAGCACTGTTGGTCTGTTTAATGTTCTGAATCTAAGAGAGAAAAAACTATTATCCTATGTAATAAAAGCCTAATATGCAAATCGACAAAACGTCAGAATGACGGTTCACTATGACACACACTGACCACCAGGGGGCACACTCAACACAGGAGCTGCCCCCAGGCCAGCCAAGGCGGGTGCCAGCGGGGGGCCCCCCCGATCGCCCTGCCGGTCACCCCACAGATCAGCCCTGATCGCCGGCCAGGCCAGCGATCCTACCTGTGCACGAATTTCATGCACTGGGCCTCTAGTTTTAAAATAAAAAACTCTGAAGTAGGGCGTGGCGGGCTAGTCCACAGGCAGCGGGCACGGTGGGGCCCTGCTCCTGCTTAGCGGGGCTCTGGGCTCTGGGCCCGCAGGAGGAAGTGGCAGGAGAGTGATCTGACATCAGGTAAGGATCCGAGGCATGAGTCAGTGACACTGAAGAGAACCTGGACGGTGCTGGTGGCTCCATGGCTTGTGGGGTAAAGAGAAATGGTCACTGGTGCGGAGAAGGCAGTGCTAATAAACAGTTCTGAGGGTTCTCTCTCTCCCTCTCCCTTCCTCTCTCTGAAATCAATAAAAACACCTTTTAAAAAATATTTCCTTAATTGTTTAAGCTGCTGTTGGTCAGGTTTTCTGTCATTTCCAGGTGAACGGTTCCCTGACATACAACCAAACACGGGCCCCCAGATAACCTGCCACTGAGTCCAGTGCGCCGGGCAGGAGCGCGAGGTTGTGGGCGGCAGACACCTGTCTCCGCCTCAGCAAGTCAGACTCGAAGCCCACTCTCTTCGACCATGTGAACGAGGAGCCACCTTTAAGTTAAAAAGCCCTGCTCTCCTCTTGTCTACCCCGCCACAGCACCAGCAGCGCTGCAGAAGAGGGGTGCAGCCGCAGGGGGCAGGGAGTCCCGCAGAGGAAGGGCAGATGCACCCGGGAGCCCACAGCCTGATCGGGGTGAGCGCTTCCCATGCAAGCAGAGCTCCCAATGCCCCGAGCTGTGTCGGCTGGTGCCTCAGAAGGTGGGTGGCCCTCAGCGGGTGCCCTGGAAGGTGGGTGGCCCTCAGCTGGTGCCCCGGAAGGTGGGTGGCCCTCAGCTGGTGCCCCGGAAGGTGGGTGGCCCTCAGCTGGTGCCCCGGAAGGTGGGGCGGCCCTCAGCTGGTGCCCCGGAAGGTGGGGCGGCCCTCAGCTGGTGCCCCGGAAGGTGGGCGGTCCTCAGTGGGTGACCTGGAAGGTGGGTGGCCCTCAGCTGGCGCCCCGGAAGGTGGGTGGCCCTCAGCTGGTGCCCCGGAAGGTGGGTGGCCCTCAGCTGGTGCCCCGGAAGGTGGGGCGGCCCTCAGCTGGTGCCCCGGAAGGTGGGCGGTCCTCAGTGGGTGACCTGGAAGGTGGGTGGCCCTCAGCTGGCGCCCCGGAAGGTGGGTGGCCCTCAGCTGGTGCCCCGGAAGGTGGGTGGCCCTCAGCTGGTGCCCCGGAAGGTGGGCAGCGAGGACTGACCTCCTCTCTGAAAAGAGGCCTGGGAGGCTGAGTGGTTCTCCTGAGATTAGAGTGCAGCTGCGCCAGCCGCACGCCAGGAGCCATGCCTCGGCCCCGGGCCTGCTGTCCTGGGCTCGCTCCCTCCTGCACCACAGGCAGACGGGCCGCGGCTCCCACTCTTCTCACCCCGAAAGTGAGAGCCGACCTCCTATTTGACCTTCAAACAAGTCAAAGCAGCAAAAACTAAAGTAAACCCTCAGCCGACATCCGCCTTGAATTCCGGACGGAGAGAGAGGAGGGCGGGAGGGAGGGCAGAAGGGGGAGCGCAAAAAAGGGCGACACTAGGCTACGCAGGTGAATTCAGCTGCGATGTCCCAGGCAAAATTAGATTCAGACAACAAACACGCTATTTCTCATGCCAGCATCCATAGTAGGAAAGGGTTACATTTTTTTTTCTTTTTACTGATTTGCGAGAGGAAGAAAGAGTGAGGAGGCAGAAAAGGGTTAATTTAAAAAACAATGTCCTTTACAAGAACATCAAAACCGCCAAATATCTAGGAGTGACTCTAACGAAGGGCAGATAAGACCTACACACTGAGAACAACACAACAGAGAAGCGAGGCCGCGGTAAGCGTGGGGCATTTCATGGGTCAGGTGGTGTTAATTCTCTACTCTGATCTATAAATGCAGTACAATCGCAATCAAGATTCTAGCAGAATTATTTTTCTGGAAATTGAGATGATTCTAAATTTAAATGGAAAAGGGCCGTGAATGGCCGACAATCCTGGAGAACTTGTACTACAGACCCGACTTACACTCTCCCTCCAGACAGTACCTGCTGTGAAGGAGGACAGACAGACGGAACGGACAGGAAACCCGCACTGACCACCGGAAGCTGCAAGGAAAACGAAGGCCCTGCCCTGCAGCGGCAGGGCAATCTTTTCAACACGCAGCACACGGTTCACTAGGAACCCGCACGCCACACTGACCCTGCGCAGAGCAGCACACACAGAAAAGCCTCCGGGCAGACTGAAGTCCAAACTGTCAGAGGCTTGGACAGATACAGGCAGACAAATGCAAGCAGCCCACCTTCTACCCCACACAGGGATGAACCCGGTCTGGGTTAAAGACTTAAAGCTTAGACCAAAACCATAAACATTCTAGAAGAAAACATAGGCAGTAAAACCTCGGACATTTCTCGTAGCAATATTTTTTCTGATATATCTCCTTAGGCCAGGGCAACAAAAAGAAACAAAAAGAAAAAATAAACAAATGAGACCACGTCAAACTAAAGAGTTTTTGCACAGCACAGGAAACCATCAACAACATGAAAAGACAGCCCACTGAATGGGAGAACATATTTGCCAATGATATATCTGATAAGGAGTTAATATCCAAAATTTACAAAGAACTTTGAAAAATGCAACTGCCTTATGACCCAGTGATTCCTCTTCTGGGAATTTATCCAAAGAAACCCAAAACACTAATTCAAAAGAATGTATGTATCTCTATGTCCACTGCAGCGTCATTTACAACAGCCAAGATGTGGAAGCAACCCAAGTGTCCATCAGTAGACAAGTGGCTAAAAAAGCAGTGGTACATTTACACAATGGAATACTACTCTGCTGTAAAAAGAATTTTTTTTTTTAAGAAAATTTTTCACCCTTTGTGACAGCATGGATGGACCTGGAGAACATTACACTAAGCGAAATAAGCTAGTCAGAGAAAGACAAGTACCATGTGATTTCACTCATAGGTGGAATTTAAAGCGCAAACTGAACTAATAAGTAAAACAGACAGACTCAGAGAGAGAGAGAAGACTGACAGCTGGGGAGTGAATGGTTGGGGAGGGAGACTGAGCAAAAAAGAAAAAAAAACAGAACTCATGGGCACGGAAAAGTGTGATGATTGAGGGGGTGAGAGGGGATGAGTGGAGGGATGAGGCACAGAGAGAATGAATGGTGATGTTTTGAAAAAAATAACATAAAATGAAAACATTTTTAAGATGTAAAAGGCAAAACAACACTAGGATCACATGCCGGAATATCTTCCTTACCTAAGGAAGGTTGTTCACAGAACTCAAAGAGCACTAACCATAAAAGACAAGAGTGAGAAACTGGGCGACTTAAAGTTAAGAATTTCTGTGACTCAAAAGATACCATGAGGAGAGTGAAAAGCCTTAAAACAGAAACGGATGATTTGCGCCCCCTCTTCCAGGGTCAGTTCGCAACGCCTTGGGACATTTCTGTTGCCTCAGCTGGTGGGGGGCACTGCTAGCATCTGGTGGGTGAAGGCCAGAGACGCTGCCGGCACTCTCTCAGGCACAAGACAACTCCCCACAGAGGAGAACTGCAGCCCACATCGCAGCAGTGGTGGTCCGGGAACCTCGCACTGCAGCCCACATCTCGGCAGTGATGGTCCGGGAACCTCGCACTGCAGCCCACATCGCGGCAGTGGTGGTCCGGGAACCTCGCACTGCAGCCCACATCGCGGCAGTGGTGGTCCGGGAACCTCGCACTGCAGCCCACATCGCGGCAGTGGTGGTCCGGGAACCTCGCACTGCAGCCCACATCGCGGCAGTGGTGGTCCGGGAACCTCGCACTGCAGCCCACATCGCGGCAGTGGTGGTCCGGGAACCTCGCACTGCAGCCCACATCGCGGCAGTGGTGGTCCGGGAACCTCGCACTGCAGCCCACATCTCGGCAGTGGTGGTCCGGGAACCTCGCACTGCAGCCCACATCTCGGCAGGGATGGTCCGGGAACCTCGCACTGCAGCCCACATCGCGGCAGGGGTGGTCCGGGAACCTCGCACTACAACCAAGATTACTTTATCCAGCAAAGCTATCATTCAGAATTGAAGGTCAGAGAAAGAGCTTCACAGATAAGGAAAAGCTAAAGGGGTTCATCACCACCAAACCAGTATTATACGAAATGCTGAAAGGTATCTTTTAAGAAGAGGAAGAAGAAGAAAAAGGTAAAGATACAAATTATGAACAACAAATACACATCCATCAACAAGTGAATCTAAAAATCAAGTGAATAAATAATCTGATGATCAGAATAAACTGGTGAATATAATAGAATCAGGGGCATAGAAAGGGAGTGGACTGACTATTCTTCGGGGGGAAAGGGGTGTGGGGGATGCGGGAAGAGACTGGACAAAAATAGTGCACCTATGGATGAGGACAGTGGTGGGGGGGTGAGGGCGGAGGGTGGGAGGGGAACCAGGTGGAGGGGAGTTATGGGGGAAAAAAGAGGAACAACTGTAATAATCTGAACAATAAAGATTTAATTTTTTAAAAAAAAGAAAAACAAAAAAAGAAAAAGCAGTGAGCCAGTACTAAGATCTTCCACCCAACTCCTTAGGGAAAGTGCCCTTTGGAGACGTGTGGGAGGAGAGCGTCCGCGTATGAACAGTGAACCCCCTAAGGCCTCGCCAGCTCCCCAGTTCGGGCGGGTACCTGGCGCTTGATGGAGACCAGCTCCATGTCCAGCTGGCGCAGCACCGTGGTGGCCGCGGTGGCGTTCGCAGACACGGCCTCCACGTCTTCTTGGGAGAGGAACATTCCCTTCGGAGGTTTCCTCTTGGCTCTGTTCTTGGCTTGGGTGCTATGCTTTTCTTTCTTGATCTGAGGGACTGTCTCAGCAGGAGGCACCTGCACAATACACAGATTTGGATGCATGTGACACCAAAAAACTTAAAATGCCAAATGGACAGTAAACACGTATTTCCTCACCACGGCTCCACACAATCCGTGACAAACACCAGGCTGCATCGTCACCGCACCTGCCCGTCCTAACAGGGAGGCAGGCAGGGACTCCTGGCAGAGGACCGCTCCCTGCCCACAGCTGCACCCTCACTCTCACTCGGAGGCTCTGACAGCAGCGCCTCCGCTCCCTGCAGTGACGGGAGGCACCTGCGCGCTGCGCTGCACACAGAGGGTAGGAGCTGCCTGTCTTCACAGGCCCCACCGTACAGAGGGAGGGAGGGAGGGAGGGAGGGAGGAGGAAGGAAGGTAGGTTGGTTCAGCATATGTATAAAGATCCATTTAAATTCTTTAAATCTTTATACAAGTTTAAAAATATACAAACTTCAATATGAAACTGTGACTTTTTACACATTTTTTGGGGGAATGACATTTAACTTTTAGGGCAACTGTGCCCTAAAAATCTCCTTCAAAAAATATAAGCTGTCATTGAAATGCACGGCTGCTGCTAATTTTTTAAGCGCTTTCTCTCTGAATCCAAAACCTGCAGAAATGAAGTGCAGTGGAACCTTGGCCAGGAAAGGCAACGTCTCCGTTAAGCCTTTTAAGAGCAAGAAGTGTATGTCTTTGCTGATAAACTGAGAATATCTTCACATTGTGAGACCAAGCTGAAGGCCATGCAGACACACGATGCAGCCACGGCAGTGAGTCCCGCAGGGCTAGCAGAGGCCCGCGATGCCGCCCCGGCAGTGAGTCCCGCAGGGCTAGCAGAGGCCCACGGCCACGGCAGTGAGTCCCGCAGGGCTAGCAGAGGCCCACGATGCCGCCCCGGCAGTGAGTCCCGCAGCGCTAGCAGAGGCCCACGATGCAGCGTGTCTGTTTTAATAACACTTAAGCGTGTAAACTACGATTTAAGTATTTTTCTTTTTGACTCAGAAACTGAGCTATATAAATAAGAATTACAGAAATTAATATAAAATCAACCTTTTCTCTTCATTTAAAATGTTCCATTGAAGAACCTAGTAGACAGTGCAACAAAACAAAGCTCACTATGCATTCCAAGTCCAATTTGATTTCTCAGACAGTCTTAACGGAACTAACCCTTAAAGCAGGGGTCCTCAAACTTTTTAAACAGGGGCCAGTTCACTGTCCCTCGGACCATTGGAGGGCCGGACTATAGTTAAAAAAAAAAACTATGAACAAATTCCTATGCACACTGCACATATCTTATTTTGAAGTAAAAAAACAAAACGGGAACAAATACAGTATTTGTATTTGCATGTGGCCCGCGGGCCGTAGTTTGAGGACCCCTGACTTAAAGCAATCTTGTTATTTGCACTCATATAAATTGCTGGCAGAGTGCCATTGGGAAAGAATGACTAGTTCCCCATTTGGTGATATAACCAGACCAAAGAAGCCTTAAAAACATATCTAGAACACTTTGACCCAACTGTCAACATCCAGAAATTAACTGTAAAGGGAAAAATTAAGTGCACTAATACTCAGTTATGAAATCAGCATTGTTTATGACAGCATAAAGCAGGGGCAGAACTGTAAAAGCCCACGAGGATTAATCTCCTCAATATGAACGCGCTGTATGATGGACTAACACACAGTTGTGAGGGGAAGCACGGGACTGGCTGGATGTCTGTGCGGAGGAGTCTCCGAAAGGCCGGGGCCTCTGGGGGGACCTGGCCGAAGGCGGCAGCCCCTGCCCTGACTTCTCCAAGCAAGTCCGATCCCCGGGGGTGTTTTGCTAGAATCTCTGTTTAGTCTTTTAAGACCCGGCCTTGTAGAAGCATGAGCTTTCTCAAGGATGCCTGCCCTGCTGATTGTATCTAGAGGTTAATTTTAGTTCAAGCTGTTGAGACAATAAAAGCCAAAGGCGGCAGGAGAACAGGGCTACTTGGCGGCAATAGCCAAGTAGTGCCTTAGCCTCTCTTTCACAGAAACGTGTGTGAGAGTCATCATTCATCTGTCGCTCAGGGTCTGCCGGTCAGCCCCGGCACAGTTGTGTATACAAATGTATTTGACATAAACAGAGTAAATTTGAAAGGTTATAAAATTTATATATAGATAAAGATCCCATTTATATATTTTAAAATAAATATTTACACAGAATTAAGTATATAGGCATATACTTAAAAACATTTAAAAAAATATTTGTATTGATTTCAGAGAGGAAGGGAGAGGGAGAGAGAGAAACATCAATGATGAGAGAGAATCATTGATTGGCTGCCTCCTACACGCCCCCTACTGGGACTAGGCCTGCAACCTGGGCCTGTGCCCTTGACTGGACTCGAACCCAGAACACTTCAGTCTGCAGGCCGATGCTCTATCCACTGAGCCAAACCGGCTAGGGCTACTTAAAAACATTTTTTAAAATTTTATTTTAGAGAGCGAGAGAAAGGGAGAGGGAAGGAGGGAGGGGGAGGGAGAGATCCATTTATTGTTCCACTTATTTATACATGCATTGGTTGATTTCTGTATGTGCTCCAAGCAGGGATCAAATCTGCAACCTTGGTGGATAGGGACAACGCTCTAACCAACTGAGCTACCCAGCGCCCACACTCCTTACAGAGGAACGTGTGAACGGTGACTATGGTGTACGTGGTTTCATTTTCTCCTTTTGGTTAGCTGTATTTCGTACTTTGTCCATAAGAAGCACATGGCACTGGTGTCATGTCAAGGTTAGGCCTGTCTAGACCCTTCTACTTTCCTGCCTGAAGCAGCGTTCTCAGACCTCAGAGCCTGTGAGACAGAGAACCCTCGAGTTTACGAAACTGCAGGCTCTGCCTTCAGAACAACCCCCGTGACCGCCAGTGAAGGTCCTGCCCACAGTGGGGCCAGCACCGCAGCCCGAGGACCCCGTGGCCGGCCTGCTGCAGGCAGTGCTGATCGTGGGGTTCCCCCAGAGCCTCGAAGCCGGGCTTTCCTCGGAGGGCCCACAGTGCTTTAGTCAATGTGATGAATGGACAAAATAATGCCAGACTGCGACCCCCATTTCAAAAGGCTAACTTCCCAACACCCCCCTATCCTCAGCGGACAGGTTACAAAAGTCGCCCACAACTGTGGGGTTCTGTGAGGCAGGCCCCTGAATCAAAGCACTAAAAACCTCCGGCTTATGCCTTTCAGGATGTGAGCGATTACACTTCACCCTGGGAGGCTCACCTCGTGACCTGCGCTGTTGCTTCTGAGGAAGGAGAGGAGCGTGCAGAGCCCGGGCGTGACAGCGCGGGGGCGCCACAGGCCGAGGGGAGCCGCGCCCTCGCCTGGCCTCGGGAGCACCCCTCTCTGAGGCGCTGAGCCAGCGCCGGAAAGGTGGCAGCGAGAACTCCGCTAGACACACTGTCACTCGTCACTGCAATCTTTCCTTCAAGACTTCCTTGACTCATGCTTCCTGGCGAGCGCAAGGCTAAGTTCTCTAAGGCCCAGATATTATTGCTCAAAATGCATATCATGGCGCCCTGCGCCACAGAGCAGTTAATGCCTTCAGTAGAATAAGAGAGAGGAAGGAATGTCTGCTTATGAACTAGCAATAACATCTATTTGCCTAACAGGAAAAAATACCTCCTTTTTGCTCTCCTTATTCTGATCAATCTCAAGGTCAATGGGGTTGTTTCCATTTGCTTCTTCCAGTTCATCCTCACTGAAAGACAAGAAAAAGTGACTGAAATGTTATTTGGTATTAATGTACTTAATATACAAATACATTGATATGATATAAAATTAGTATGTTTTCAGACTCTGAATAAAAACATTTTTACAATTCAAATAAAATACCAATCCCACAGTTCCTTTAGTCTAAATGATTAAAATCAACTATTAAAATGGGTTTCTAACTCCCAAACTGGCCTACAACCCTGTTGCTTTATATAAAGTATTTTCTCTCAACTGAAAATATGAAATTTAAGACATTGACTTTATTTCCCCATAATTATCTGGTGGAGAACTGGGACATGACCATTAGACACAACTGAGAAATGTTCACGAATGCAGTGCCTCTGCGCAGGGAACCTACCTGCCGCCGAGGCCCCGGGCGGGCACAGGGCGGGCTACGGGCGGGAGCAACTGGGACTTAAAGTCAGTCCATCCCACCAAGGCCCTGGCTGCTGCGCTGCTGCAAGTGCTCTGGCTACGCCTTCCCTGAGCCTCTATGTAAAGAGGACAAGAGCTCGCTGGGAAGGTCACTAGGAAACGAGAAAACAAGGCCCAGCAGCCTGCCGCTGGCCCACTGACGCCAAGATGGCGCGGCCAGAGCGCTCGGGTTTCCAACAGCCACATCCCACTTGCATCCAGAGACCACGCCCCCTTTACCCCACTCCTCCCCTCTATCCCCACCCTCCTCGGCCCAAGGTGGTACAGGTTTGGGCTGAGGAAAGAGTGTGAAGCAAAGAAAGAGCCTGGGCTGAGGGTGCTCTGCCCCCGTCCCTGCCCTGGCACCACAGCAGGTCCCATCAGAGACCGGCCGGCCCTGCCCCGGCGGGCGCCTCCTGCCTGCATCCTGGGGGGTGACGTGCCCGCCGGAGGTGGGAGCAACATACCACCTGGGGCGTCATTTCATACTCAGCACAAGTCCCAGGCTGTTTTGGTATTTAATGCTGCTTTCAGTGGGTAGGCTGCATCCGTCTGCAGTAATAAACCTAACTTACACTCAGTGCACGAGACCTGACATATCACGGAAATAACGACGTCCATGCAAAGTTGCTGCCACACTGAAGACACTCGGTGAGGAGGTGGCCACCTTTCTCTGTCCTGAGGAGTGCTGAGCAGACACTGACATGCCCCTGTGCGTGCTGAAGACCAAGACACTGCAGGCGCCTGGAGGTCAGCACTGCTCAGGCTCCGGGTGGGAGAGCAGGCGATGCTCAGCGTCGCGCATGTCACCCGGGGGCCGGGAGGGCCGAGCTCTCAACTCGTTCCCACGTGTTGTTCTCTTTCATTTGAAATCATAATACTCTTCTGAGATGGGGCCAAATGATCACTAGTTTACAAAAATAATATATTATGCAAAATGTGGAAAATGTAATTTTAAAAAGCCGCCTATATTACCACCAGCCTCACCCAAAGACCACTGTGCTGTGTGCTGGCGCCTGGCCCTGAAGCGCCTTCCTTTGCAGCTGAGGGGCCGGGGCTGGGAAGGGCGAGCAGGGCCTTCCAGCCGAGCGTGGCGCCTACGCCCGCGTGGCCACCCCCCTGCGCTGTGCCTACAGGGGCCGAGGACCTGAGGACAAGATGCATCCTTTCACTAAACTCGCTGTGAAACTCGCGTTCACTAAGAAACCATGAAATGCTTCTCTCTCACTCACGCGTGCAAAACAGACAAGAGGGAAGAAGCACTGGCATCTAACACACCGAGCACAAGCACATGCCAAATGCATCTGTGCACGCACGTCAGGTAAAGCTCCACCCAGAGCCCTGGCTGGTGTGGCTCCGTGGAGAGAGTGTGGGCTGAAGGGTCCCGGGTTCGATTCCGGTCAAGGGCACGTACCTTGGTTGCAGGCTCCTCCCAGGCCTGGGCCCTGGTCAGGGCGCCTGCAGGAGGCAACCAAAATCGATGTTTCTCTCAGCCCCTCTCCCTTCCACTCTCTTTAAAAATCAATGGAAAAATATCCTCGGGTGAGGATTAACAAAAAAAGTTGATTTAAAAACTACGCCCAGGAAAGAACAGATCCCTGCTATTAAAGAAGACGCCCTGGCGCAGGCCCAGCGGCTCAGGTGGTTGGAGCGTCGTCGTCCTGATACACCAAGATTGTGGGTTCGATCCCTGGCCAGGGCACACACAAGAGTCCACCAATGAATGTATAAATAAGTGCAACAACAAATTGGTATTCCCCACCCCCTCTCTTTCTAAAATCAATTGTCTTTTTAAAAAGCCGCCCTTAAGGGGCATGAAAGAATGTGTGGGAAGCTTCCTGGCAGGAGAGTGGCGAGAAAAGTGCTGCAGGAAATGCCACGGTGCATGAGCACAGCATCAGCAGCGAGGGAAGCATGTTGTGAGTCTGGTCCAGCAGGAAGGCCCTGGGGGAACGCAGCCACGACTCGCCGGTGTGTCCACCCGCTCACAGCGTTCTAGCGACTCCGAAGGTCCCTGGGGGGGGGGGGGGGGGGGCGGGGAGGGGACAGCACCCCAGGCGCCACTGACCTTTCCTCCCGCTCTCGCTTCTGCTTGCGAGCGTGGCGATCCATCACGCTGGTCTTAGTCCTCGTCTTCTTCCACGAGTAGTAAAATTTCACCAGACTCGCTATCGACTTGTCAGGAAGCTAAATGTAAGAAAGAGGGGACTTAGATTTAAAACTAACCTTTCAGAATCAAACGTGCTTACACCCACGTATGGGGTCACGCTCACGTCGTCAGAAATGTCCTAAGTCACAGCCCCTCCACAACAAGGAGAATCATGAAAGCTTCTTCATACATTTTCAAATGACTAAGTGTGACTGTAAGCGAAACAGCAGTTTAAGATGAATCCGTTTCCACACACCTGAAGTTTCTAACATAGTCTAACATAACTTTTGGGGAACTTTAAAAAAGCTCATTTGAGCCCTAATGCAACGTGGTAGGAGCCCACCCAGCAGCACTCTAGAGTGTGAGAGATAAGCAGCCCTTCCCTGGGAGGCAGGCCCCCATGGCGCCATCTCCTCAGTAACCGCAAGAGCCTTCCCTAGCCTTCCCTAGACTTCCCTAACCTTCCCTAGACTTCCCTAACCTTCCCTAGACTTCCCTAGCCTTCCCTAGACTTCCCTAACCTTCCCTAGACTTCCCTAACCTTCCCTAGACTTCCCTAACCTTCCCTAGACTTCCCTAACCTTCCCTAGATTTCCCTAACCTCCCCTAACGTTCCCTAGCCTTCCCTAGACTTCCCTAACTTTCCTTAACCTTCCCTAGACTTCCCTAGACTTCCCTAACCTTCCTGGCTCGAACAAGGGGGGTGTCACGGCCCTCAGGCTGGGAAGTGCCAGGAAGTGCTCCCTACAGTAATCTGCAGCCTCGGTCCCCCCTCCCCCCTCACCACCCGCTCCAGCAAAGCAGTGAGCCTAAAGGGAGCTTTCCTGGAATGAGGCCTCCTGCCTCAGTGCTAGATACCCCGCCCCTGGGTGCGCCTGGGGGGTGGGGGTTGGGGCCCTCGGGTCTCATCTACTTACCATCTGTTGGATTCTATGGAAAGTTTTCCCGTGGAAACTAAAGGCTTGCTCAAACAAGACTTTGTCTTCCACAGTCCACTCGTCTGGGAAGGGGGTAAAGTTGGGCAAATCAGCCAAGGATTTCTCAATGTTATGCTTGTGCCAAAAGAGCATCCCAAGAGCCTAGAAAAATAGCATCAGTGAGATTTTAGACCAAAGATGTGACCATCACGTTAAAACGGAGACGAGGCTGGCAAGAGTGCACACCTTCCCTCCCAGACAATGAACAGCCGCTGGAGCCGCTCCTGCTGTCACTAACTCCTCACCCCACGAGCCCGCGATAAGCAGGCCCCCACCCGCGCTGCTCAGGTTGGACTCGGAGGCCCTGCCTCGCCACAGAGCCAGGAAGTGGCTCTGGCACCTGTGTGGCAGGGTCACGCCTCAGGCCCTGCACCTGGAAGGCGAGGCTGCCTCCCAAGAGCACGCCCTGCTGCTCCTCCTCTGCCCAAAGCGCAGCACAGCCGCTGGGGGCTCAGTCAGCTGCCGCGCCGTCCTGGCACCAAAAGGTTACAGGTTCGATTCCTAGGACACAGACCCAGGTTGCGGGTTGGAGTACATACGGGAGGCACCCATCAATGTTCTTCTCTCTCCCTCTCTCTTTCCCTTCCTCGCTCTCTAAAATCAACAAAAACATATCCTCAGGTAAGGACTGGGGAAAAATAACCCCGGCAAATAGGAATAAATGAGAAACAGGAGAGGGAGCTCGGGAATTCCCTGAGGAGTGTCTTGCATCACAACTCTGAAGCGAAGACAATCACGCTTTTGAAGATCAGAATCCTTGAAAACCATACAAGGATCACCCAATCATGTTTACACTCTCTAAACAGAATAAAAAATGGATGAGCTTTCTGGGCACCTCATGCAGTTCATGAGCAGGGTTAGAACAGGAGAAGCACACATTTCTTGCTTTGGAAGATTCTGGAACTACCTTATCATAGTTGCCTTTTTAACAGTCCTACCAGGATAGAATAATTACAAAGAAGGCCAAGGCTGTAAACCAGAGTGCCGTTCTAATTGGAGTCACTGGGTAAGGGGAAATGCTAGTGCTGTCCAGGCTATAAAATCTAGGTCGATGCCAGGAAAGCACTAGCCCCGCTTAGCGTGCTCACTTTTAAAGCAGTGATTAGAAACTTTTAAAACAGCCTTTGAACAATTTTTAAGTGAAAGCCTTAGCCAAATTTTACACCTGAAAGTGACTCAAAACAATTAATATTAAAACACGATAGGTTTAAGCGTGGCAGCCTGAGTCAGGAAACACCATCAACAGCCGAAAAATGACAGCTCGGCCGAAACCGGTTTGGCTCAGTGGATAGAGCGTCGGCCTGCGGACTGAAAGGTCCCAGGTTCGATTCCGGTCAAGGGCATGTACCTGGGTTGCGGGCACATCCCCAGTGGGAGATGTGCAGGAGGCAGCTGGTCAATGTTTCTCTCTCATCGATGTTTCTAACTCTCTGTCTCTCTCCCTTCCTCTCTGTAAAAAATCAATAAAATATATTTAAAAAAAAAAAAGAAAAATGACAGCTCACATGGCCACGTAAGGAAGCACGTGCCCAGCGTCCCGCACCACGGCCTCCACTGCCCTGCGGCCCCGCGGACGGACCGTCCACTGCCACCCACCTGGGGGCTCCTCGCACACCGGCTCCCGGGCGGTGCGAGGGGCCAGAGCCCGCGTGACGCCGCTGTGACCACCCAAACGCTGCTGGGGGGACACGGCCGCTCCACCCACACCACACCTACTGGCTCGCTCTAAAGCCCGTTTCTAACAACAAAAGAAACACGTCGTTACCTGCTCCATGTTGTAGCCGTGCTTCTCCTTGGCGATGGCGATGTACTCGTCCACTGAAAAACAAGACAGGCGTGAACAGGGCCGCGGGCTTAGGACAGGCCCGCGCGGGGCCTACAGGCAGAAGCCCCGCAGGACTCGCTGAAATATACTCAATATGAAAGCCCTTATCTCTGGATGGCAAAATTATGACTCTCTTTTCTAAACTTGGTTCTACTTATTTTCCATAAACAAGTATTTCTTTAGTACCTGAAAAATAATTATTTATAAATAAAAAAACATTAAATTGGGGTTTGTTTTTAGGAGCCAAGGCTACAGAACAAACAACCTATCGCTATATTTTAAAAAACCTAAGAGATGAGTGATGTGAACCAGTGTCTGGTATTTGCTTTTAGGCACTAAGAAAACTGACCCCAAGGTGAACCTGCTTCCACCTTATATTTTCTAGTCTATTCTCCAGAAAAATAAGGCACTAGTCGTCTATAGCACTTCCTTATATTATCCATGTGTGACTTCTCTATGTAAATTACAAAAATAACACAAGCTCAAAACACCACTAGGCAGAGCTGTATGCAACAGTGACATCCCCACGGCCCCTGACCTCTGTCCCGGAGGCTCACTCGGTCCCCTCGGCCCCTGGCCCCCGTCCTAGAAGGTCAGTTAGTTTCCTGAGAGGACAACTCGAGGCCGAGGGCCAGGCTCCAAGAGCTGCGCTCGCCCAGCTGCAGTGAGCGCGCGGCCCGGCACTGCGCAGTCCGGCCACAGCCCTGGCTCCCGCTGCGGCAGAAATGTAATCAGTTTTGAAAAAATAATTCAGACTCTTTTTTAGTGTGCATTCTAACGCCAGAGAAAATGTTTCTCCACTGACAGAGGGAAAAGGTCAGCTTAACTCAAACCGTAACTACACACAGTGCAGCTCCCTGCTAACGGCAACACGAAGCATCCACTTCCTCCTTTTACAGCCAAGTCCGTACAGACCGGCTGTCACTGCGCTCGCAGCAGGAAAACTCCAGGGCACCGGAGACTCGGTGAACTAAACCAGCGGCCGCCAACCTTTCGGACCTCACAGCCCACCAGTGGCCCACGGCCCACCGGTTGGCGACGCTGAACAAAATGACCTCAGGGCAGCCTTGGTGAGCACGCAGCAGGGACGGCACATTTCTGCCTACATGCAGCTCTGTGAGCCACAACTGCCACACCACTGCCCCCCTGGGCCCAGCGCACCCAGAGCGCAGTTCCAGTCCCCGCCCCTGAGGCCTGCTGGGCACCCGAGCAAGGTGGCCTGTAAAGCCACAGCGCCTGTCAAGTCACCCGGCCCAGCGGGCAGGAGTGGAAGTTACCTTGTGAAAGAATTCTATCTGACAGCCTCTGGCAAAACACACTTGGTGCATTCTCTTCATTGTCCCCAGCTTCCAACAAAGATTAGCAAACAGCTGCTGAGGGGTGCTGGGAGCTGTGGCATGGGGGGGCGGGGGCGTGGGGGCTCCTTTCCCAGCAGGGCAGCAGCCGGGTTAGCCCTGGGGAGGAAGGCGCAGGTGGAGCCGGCTCTGGCTGACAGACGAGGCCTGGGCAGGGGTGGACACTCAGCACTGCGAGTCAGGTGGAGGCCGCCTCCCTTAGCAGCTCCCCGGCCTCCCCAGCGCATTCTGAATGAAGAGCGTCTGTACAAGCAGTGCTGCGGACCCGCCTTGCCTTCCTAGACGCCCTGTCCTCAGCTCCTCCTTTACTCATCAGGCCCATGGCGACCACCACCGTTTCTGGCACCCTGACTCCCCACTCCCTGACTCCCCACCTCCCTGACTCCCCACCTCCCTGCCGTGCCAGTAGCTGCTGGAAGGACATACTGAAAATTAAGTGTGAATTTTCAAAGCCTCCCTCGATTTTTCGATTTTTCGGCCTAAGAAAATAAAATCCACTCACAAACAAAGGATGACCAGATGCAACGGATAAGAGATGAAACAGGAAGGGAGTGAGCCCCTGAGGCAGGGGGTCATCAAGGAAGGTGTGATCAGGGCGAAGTCCATGAGGCTAAGGAGCCGCCAGGACATGTCCTGGGGACAGGGCCTTTGCACCCAGCGCCCTGCCCTGCCCTGTCCTCCCCAGGGCGCAGGGGTCAGTACCGGGAGCCCCAGGGAGCAGGAAGCAGCAGACTTGCCTTGTGCGACTTAGCTGACCCCCAGCTTGTCTGTCAGAAGCAGAACTGCTCAGAGCTAAGTGCTCTCTGCCTCAGAAGCAGCCTGCCATTGCATAATGCAGTATTTTTAAAACTTGAAAATTCCCATGGAAACCACCGAGGAAAATGGTCCAATCTTAAATGATGATGCATAAGACATACATCACTCTGATCATTTAAGGAATTACACAGACTGTACATATCCTTTGCTTTGACAAGTACTTAATGTTATGGAAAGCACAGGTGACTGAGTTATGTTTTGGGGGTGACATCACTTAAAGGTAGAGTGTGCATGTGTGTGTGATTCATCAAGAAAATTTACAATACAGCCAGTAATCCTCCTATATAATAAAAGGCTAATATGCAAGTTGACCCATCAGCAGAATGACCAGCGCTATGACACGCACTGACCACCAGGAGACAGATGCTCAAAGCAGAAGCTGCCCCCTGGTGGTCAGTGCGCTCCCATGGGGGAGCGCTGCTCAGCGAAACCGGACTCATGGCTGGTGAGTGCAGAGGCGGTGGTGGGAGCCTCTCTCACCTCCGCTGCAGGCGGGTGGTAAGGAGCGAGGTGTCCTGGACTGTGAGAGCCCCTGAGTGCAAGAGGGCGCAGGCCAGGACACCCTCCCCCCCAGTGCACAAATCTCGTGCACCGGGCCTCTAGTATTGTAATAACTACGTATGGTGCCAGGCTGGAAACATCAGGAGACACTTTGTCAAGTATGATTGTCTGACCATTATGCTGTACACCTGAAACTAATGTAAAACAATAGTGAATGTAAACTGTAGCTGAAAAATAACATTTTTAAAAAAGAAAATTCACAAACACCTCATCAAGCATATATTGAGCTACCCTTACTATGTACAGAACGCTCTACTGAGTAGCAGGACAGACTACAGACGATAAACTAACTGACTTCCTTCGGTAGCTTGAAACAACACACAGGTAACGGAAGAGAATACAGATTCCAAAATAACAGCACAGATGCAGATGGCAAGGGCATGCAGAGTGATCAGGAAATAATGATCATGACGATGATAATCGGGACGGCAGTTACACCGAGTGATGACAGCAGCTGACATTGGTCATTCACTGCCAGCCACTGCGCTAAGCTCGGCACAGGGTTCTCTTTCTTATTCTCTCCAGTACTTCAGCTACCACCTCATTCCCAAAGGCCCAGAGAAGGCAGGGGATTTGGAAACTCAGGGTCTGACTCGGGACCTGGGCGCTGAACCTCTGTCCATGCCTCCCTCTCTCTGGAGGAACCGCCTCCACGGCGCAGAGAACAGATCAGGCCAGTCGGCCTGTGTATCCCACGTGAACGGGGTTAAGGAAATAGCGCTCTGGCTGGTGAAGGAAGTGGTGAGAATGGGAGGTCACCGGCACCTGGCTGCCTTGTGCGAGGCCTCATTCGCTTCTATATTCATGTTTAATCCAGGGCTACATGCCCTTAGTACCATTAGTAAGAGTCTCATTCAACTGCAAATGTAAGGAAGAATGCAGACAAAACTGCCAGTCACCTAGCTCACCCGGGCCGGCCCTGGAACCCAGAGTCGGAACGCCTTATGCCTGTGTATATCCCATGCAGAGCAGGAGCGGACACCATGAGGTGGGTGAGGACAAACTAGAGCTGTGATGCAGCTTTTTAAATGGTTTATCGTTATAACATTGGCAGTAGCATTAGGTACAGAAAAGGAGGCATGGCACCAATGTCTCTCTTCAAGAATATAATAAATATCAGGGCATCTCCTTTTATTATTAAAACACAAAATGAGCAATCACTGTAACTCAGAATCCAAAGGCGCTTCTTAAATCATGTAAGGAAAGCAATGATGCCACCTGGTGGGCATAACTATCACTACAGTTAACATTTCAATGAGACACTCCCCCACCCCATTCAGGGGAACAAGAGAGCACAAGACACAAGACAAGACTCTGCCAGAGTCTAATACAATGAGCCTGTGCTCCCTAGTCAGCAATGAAATACACTTTCTCTGTTAAAATGCTGTTTCTTAATGTAGCTTTGCTAAAATCCCACTTTACAGAAAAAGCGCCCCCACCCTCCTGAACCCAGTAAATACGACACAACCCAGCCCAGTCCCGTAAACACCTGGATCAGGTGGAAATGAGAACTGTGAGCGCCCTGCCAAGCCTCCCACATCCGCAGGCAGCTCAGCACCTGCTGCTGCTCTGCACCCCGGCCGCCCTCCATCTAGGATCTGCGCGCATGACTGTAAGTTCTCCCCGCCTCTGCACCAGTTCCTTATCCGTATGAGAGCGGAGTAGTTATGACCTTAAAAGTGTCTCCCATGGCTAACACTGTATGAGTAATCTCTTGAGTTTTAACGTTAAAGAGTAGTCAGCGAGTGACACACTCTCTCCTTGCGTCTCTCACATCAAGTCAACTTACTCATGACTCAGACCCTCGCAGGCAACTGCAGACTCACAATAATTTTGTTTGTTCTCATATGTTTTGCTTTGTACAATATGAGCTAAGAACGGAACCATGCTCAAACAAGGTCTGCATCTCCCTTTACTAAAGGCAACATTCCCCTACATGAGGGGGGTGGGGGGCCTCAGCCGCACAGCTGAGCGCCTCCTGGGGAGAGCCTGACCCTGGTCCGTCCTCGGCGCCGTCGGGAACCAGCAGGCTGCAGCACGGTTCTCCCTAACACCAGAGTGAGGCCAGGTCTCCTGCCCGGTCCCTCCGAGGCAGCGGGAGCAGAGACATACAAATGCAAGTGTTACAGAATGACTCCTTCCTACGTATTCATGAGCGTCAGCTACAGGCGAGGGTGCAGTTTAGAACCCAGCATTCGTTTAGCAGGAGAAACCCACCGAGGCTGGCGCGCCGCTGGAACTCTGCTCCAACTGCAGTTCCC